CCCCCCCGTGACTTTTGGTGTGTCCCCCCCATGTCCCTTCCATGTCCCCGCCATCCCTTCTGGTGTCCTTTGTGTCCTCAAATGTCCCCTCCGTGTCCTCACGTCTTTTTTGCGGCCCCCTTCATGTCCCCATGTCCCCTCGGTGTCCCCCCACGTCCCCTCCTGGGGTCCCATGTGTCCCCTCCTGTTGTCCCCCTGTCCCTCCTGTTGTCCCCGTGTCCTCTCCCTGTCCCCTCCACATCCCCTTGTCCCTCCTGTTGTCTCCGTGTCCCCTCCATGTCCCCTGTCTCTCCTGTTGTCCCCATGTCCCTTCCATGTCCCCTCCTGTTGTCCCTGTGTCCCCTCCATGTTCCCTCCTGTTGTCCCTGTGTCCCCTCCATGTCCCCTCCATGTCTTCTTGTGCCTCCTCTTGTCCCCGTGTCCCCTCGGTGTCCCCCCATGTCCCTTCCTGGGGTCCCATGTGTCCCCTCCATGTCCCCCTGTCCCTCCTGTTGTCCCCATGTCCTTTTCATGTCCCCTCCTGTTGTCCCATGTGTCCCCTCCCTGTCCCCTCCATGTCTCCTTGTCCCTCCTGTTGTCCCCGTGTCCCCTCCACGTCCCCTCCTGTTGTCCCCGTGTCCCCTTCATGTCCCCCCGTCCCTCCTGTTGTCCCCGTGTCCCCTCGGTGTCCCCCCATGTCCCTTCCTGGGGTCCCATGTGTCCCCTCCATGTCCCCCTGTCCCTCTTGTCCCCGTGTCCCCTCCCTGTCCCCTCCTGTTGTCCCTGTGTCCCCTCCCTGTCCCCTCCATGTCCCCTTGTCCCTCCTGTTGTCCCCATGTCCCCTTCACGTCCCCTCCTGTTGTCTGTGTGTCCCTTCCTGTCCCCTCCATGTCCCCTTGTCCCTCCTGTTGTCCCCGTGTCCCCTTCATGTCCCCTCCTGTTGTCTGTGTGTCCCTTCCTGTCCCCTCTATGTCTCCTTGTGCCTCCTGTTGTCCTATGTGTCCCCTCCCTGTCCCCTCCTGTTGTCCCCGTGTCCCCTCCCTGTCCCCTCGTGTCCCCTCATTCTTCCTGGGGCCTCCTGTCCCCCCCGCTGGCCTTTCTCCCTCCCCCAGGGATGTCCCCGTGCCACCCCCGGTGACGTCCCCGTCCCCTCTGTCCCCCCAGGTCCCTGCCCATGGCTGAGGGGTGCTCACACGCCGTCCCGCCTCGTCCCCTCCCCGGGGAGGTGACGGCCACCCCTGGGGACGTCACCACGGACCCCGAACCTGCATGGGGACAGGCCGGAGGTGTCCCCGAGGGGGAGCGTGACACCGGTGTCCCCACGGACACCGTCACCATCACCCCCTGGGCCAGCGGCATCACCATCACCGTCACAGCAGCCCCGGCGGACGAGGACACCGGGGACTTTGGGGACGAGGACGTCCCAGGCTTCGGGGACGAGGACGTCGGGGACAGGGACGTCCCGGTCACAAGCGACGCGGGGCACGGGGATGTCCCAGTTGTACGTGACAAGGACGTCGAGGTCAGGGATGTCACAACCCCAAAGGACGTTGGGGACAGGGATGTCCCAGCCCGTGGAGACAAGGATGTCGCAGCTGGAAGGGACATTGGGGACAGGGACATTGGGGACAGGGACATTGGGGACAGGGCCATCGCGACCCCAAGCGACGTTGGAGACCGGGATGGTCCAGCCCTTCTGGACAAGGACGTTGGGGGCGAGGATGTCACAGCTGTAAGGGACGTTGGGGACAGGGATGTCCCAGCTCCTGGGGACAAGGGTGTCACCACCCCAGGGGATGTTGGGGACAGGGATGTCCCACCTCTGGGGGACAAGGACATTGGGGACAGGGATGTCCCAGCCCATCCGGTCAAGGACATTCGGGACAGGGATGGCCCAGGTCCTGGGGACAAGGACATTGGGGACAGGGATGTCCCAGCCCATCCGGTCAAGGACATTCGGGACAGGGATGGCCCAGGTCCTGGGGACAAGGACATTGGGGACAGGGATGTCCCAGCCCATCCGGTCAAGGACGTTGGGGACAGGGATGTCCCAGTTCCTGGGGATAGGGACATTGGGGACAGGGATGTCCCAGTTCTTGGGGACAAGGATGTTGGGGACAGGGATGTCCGAGCCCTAAGGGACAAGAAGATTGGGGACATGAGGGATGCTGGGGACGAGGCTGTCTCAGCTCCAAGGGACATCAGGGATGGGAATGTCCCAGCCCCAGGGGATGTTGGGGACACCAGTATTGGGGACACGCAGGTCTCGGTCCTCAGGGACGTTAGGGACAAGGATATTGAGGACAAGGACGTCCTAGCTCCGAAGGACACTGGGGACAGCGATGTCCCGGTCCCAGGGGACACTTGGGTCAAGGATTTTGGGGACATGCGGGTCTCAGCCCTGAGAGATGTTGGGGACACTGGGGACAGGGGTGTCCCAGTCCTAAGGGACACTGGGGACATCCCGGTCTCTGAGGACAAGGACGCTGGGGACAGGGATGTCCCAGCTCCTGGGGACAAGGGTGTCACCATCCCAAGAGTCATTGGGGACAGGGATGTCACCATCCCAAGGGACACTGGGGACAGGGATGTCCCAACCCATCCGATCAAGGACATTGGGGACAGGGATGTCGGAGTCCCAGGGGACGTTGGGGACATCCCAGGGGACACTGGGGACATCCCAATCTCTGGGGATGAGGGCAAGGACAGCGGGGACGGGGATGGCGCTGCCCCACGGGACGTTGGGGACAGGGACGTTGGGGACGGGGACATTGGGGACATGGACGTTGAGGATGAAGGTGTTGGGGACAGGGACGTCGGGGACGGGGGCATC